ATCATGAAATCTTAATGGAATTGCAATTGTTGGGGATTCTATTTGAGCAACGTCCTGTAATGTTATATTTAATTTAATTAATTAGAGACGGGGGAATTTAACTAAGTAGGTAATGAGAGCAGTCAAGGAAACAAACAAAACATTTTTTATTGACATCAAATAAGAATCTTATAATAATGAAAAATATGAAATACGGAGTAGAAAATAAAGAAATTACCCAAAATGGGACTAAAACATGGACTAAATTCCTAAATGGGACTTTAAGTTTTTTATTCCCTAAATAGGACTTCACATTACAATTTTACCCTTCCTCTTATTAAACTCAACTTCTCCCTCTCTGTTCTGCGATTTCTTCCGCCCCGGGCCCCACTACAAAAAAATTCGCCTGTAGTCACGGACCGTAGTCACGGATTTGGTCCGTGACTAGTTAGTCACGGTTCTAATCACGGTGTAGTCACGGAATCGTTAAAAAAAAGGAGTCATGGATTTGTCCGTGACTACGTCCGTGACTAGAGGTAGTGACGGACCTAGTCCGTGACTAAAGTGTTCCGGCCAACCCATTTTCACCACCGGCGGGATTTTTTTTAAATTTGAAATTAGTCACGGACAAGTCCGTGACTAGTACCGTGACTACAGTTAGTCACGGTCGTGTCCGTGACTAATTCCGTGACAAGTAGTACAAAAACGTTCCAAATTTAAAGTGCACCGACAATTCGTACAAAAACAAGTAGTCACGGACATATCCGTGACTACGTCCGTGACTACAAAATTTATATATGCAGCCTCGGCTTCCTTCAACAAAATCACACCTTCTACGTACTCCAGATAGAATTCCAGATAGAATTGAAGGATGTAATCTACCCATCTCATATCATTTTTCCTGTTTTTGCAGATAAGGTATGTAATTTGAATTACGTATTTTTGTAAATTAGTTAAATATGTAAATTTGTTAATAAATACATATGTAAGTATATATATTATTAAATATAATATTGGCAATACATATGTTATTAATTTTAAAATATAGGATTAAAATTACGTAAATTAGTTAAATACGTATGTAAGTATATATGATTAAATATAATTTAAATGCATATTATTAATATTAGTTAATAAATGTAAGTATTATTTAATTCAAATGACTTTATATATATATATATATATATATATATATATATGATTAAATATAAGTATATGATTTCTTTATATTGGCAATTATTGTTAATTAAGGCGGCCTAATTTAGGATTAATAATGATTTAAATTAGGGTTAGTTAATTTAATTTAAATGTGTTTATTATATATATATGCTCAAATTATTGAATTTGCTCATATTATTTAATTTAGTACGTAAATTGTTAAATGTGCATTATTAATAAGATTAAGATGTTGATAATTTTAGTATTGTGGATTAAATTAATGTCATTAACGTATTGTGCATGTTTATAGTTTAATAATATTAATTATTAGACGTTAGTTAATTTTAATGGGATTTTAGTGAATTTTAGTGAATTTTAGTGAAATTTTAGGCAATTAGTTAATTTTAAGGGAATTAGTTAATTTTAAGGGAACTTTTGGGAATTAGTTAATTTTAAGTGAATTTTAGTGAATTTTAGTGAAATTTAAGGAAAGTAGTTAATTTTAAGGGAATTTTAGGGAATTAGTTAATTTTAAGTGAATTTTAGTGAAATTTAAGGAAACTAGTTAATTTTAAGGGCGTTAGTTAATTTTAGGGAATTTTAGGGAATTAGTTAATTTTAAGGAAATTTTAGTGAAATTTAGTGAAATTTAAGGGAATTAGTTAATTTTAGGGAATTAGTTAATTTTAAGGGAATTTTAGTGAATTTTAGTGAAATTTAAGGAAACTAGTTAATTTTAAGGGAATTAGTTAATTTTAACGGAATTATTTAATTTTAAGGGAATTTTAGGGAATTAGTTAATTTTAAGGGAATTTTAGTGAAATTTAGTGAAATTTACGGGAATTAGTTAATTTTAAGGGAATTTTAGGGAATTAGTTAATTTTAAGGGAATTTTAGTGAATTTTAGTGAAATTTAAGGAAACTAGTTAATTTTAAGGGAATTAGTTAATTTTAAGGGAATTATTTAATTTTTAGGGAATTTTAGGGAATTAGTTAATTTTAAGGGAATTTTAGTGAATTTTAGTGAAATTTAAGGAAACTAGTTAATTTTAAGGGAATTAGTTAATTTTAAGGGAATTATTTAATTTTAAGGGAATTTTAGGGAATTAGTTAGTTTTAAGGGAATTTTATTGAAATTTAGTGAAATTTACTGGAATTAGTTAATTTTAAGGGAATTTTAGGGAATTAGTTAATTTTAAGGGAATTTTAGTGAATTTTAGTGAAATTTAAGGAAACTAGTTAATTTTAAGGGAATTAGTTAATTTTAAGGGAATTATTTAATTTTTAGGGAATTTTAGGGAATTAGTTAATTTTAAGGGAATTTTAGTGAATTTTAGTGAAATTTAAGGAAACTAGTTAATTTTAAGGGAATTAGTTAATTTTAAGGGAATTATTTAATTTTAAGGGAATTTTAGTGAATTTTAGTGAATTTTAGTGAAATTTAAGGAAACTAGTTAATTTTAAGGGAATTAGTTAATTTTAAGGGAATTATTTAATTTTAAGGGAATTTTAGGGAATTAGTTAATTTTAAGGGAATTTTAGTGAATTTTAGTGAAATTTAAGGAAACTAGTTAATTTTAAGGGAATTAGTTAATTTTAAGGGAATTATTTAATTTTAAGGGAATTTTAGGGAATTAGTTAATTTTAAGGGAATTTTAGTGAATTTTAGTGAAATTTAAGGAAACTAGTTAGTTTTAAGGGAATTAGTTAATTTTAAGGGAATTATTTAATTTTAAGGGAATTTTAGGGAATTAGTTAATTTTAAGGGAATTTTAGTGAAATTTAGTGAAATTTACGGGAATTAGTTAATTTTAAGGGAATTTTAGGGAATTAGTTGGTTTTAATATATTAATAATACTCCACATATATAATATGTTGGTAATGTTTATAATTTAGAGTTTTTAACCTGTATAATTTTTTTATTATAATATTCAGGCATAATGTATAGACAAAATAGAATTTGGATGTACGATAAACATGCGGTATTGTATGGAATGCAATCAAATTTTCTTGAAGGAGTTGAGGAGTTTATTAAATTTGCACTTGAACATCCGGCTTATATGAGTGGTGATAAAATCAGATGTCCATGTTCAAAGTGTAAAAATCTCAAATTTAAACACCCAGAAGAAGTTGGGTGGGATTTGTACGCGGACGGTTTCCTTCCCAATTATTACAATTGGACTTCTCATGGCGAACCTTTGGATCCATCTGTTTTACCACAAACTGTAGGTTCGTCTCGTAACGTCCCTGCAGAGATGAGTGCGTGGGGAGACCCTGCTGAAATGAGATGGGAGCAACGTATGGTATATGACGCATACGGTGCATCGATGTCTCAGTTCAACCCCCCACAACCATCTAACGATCCTCCTGAAGCTTCGACCTCGTATCAACCACATGAGGATGAAAATCCGATATTTTATGAACCTTATGTGGATGAAGGTTTAGCTGAAAGGTTTCAAGATGTTTTAAAAGCAGCTGATCAACCCTTGTATGCTGATTGTGAGGGATACTCTCAGCTATCCGCCGTTACAGAGTTTATGAACATAAAAGCTGAATACAGTCTCCCTGAAACTTGCATGACTAGAGTCTTGCAGTCAGTAGGCGGGATGCTACCACGTGATCATAACCTTCCGGATTCATATTATCACATGAAGCAATTAATGTCTAAGTTGAGGCTACCTTATATAGAAATTGATGCGTGCCCGAAAGGATGTATGTTGTTCTGGAAGGATGATGAGACACTTGAATTCTGCAAGTTCTGTGGTGGAAACAGATACAAACCAGTTCCTCAAAGTAGAAAGAAACCACGAAATAAGTCGGCATTGTCTAAACTGTATTACCTCCCAATAGCTCCACGACTTCAGAGGATGCACGCTTCGACTGCTACTGCGAAACACATGACATGTCATGTTGAGCACGAAACAAAAGAGGGTATGATGTCTCACCCTTCGGACTGTGAAGCTTGGAGACACTTTGACCGTTGTCATCCTCAGTTTGCAATGGAGCCACGAAATGTGCGACTGGGATTGTGTTCAGACGGATTTGCTCCATTTGGAAAACTGTTTTATAAAAAACTGTTTTATAAAAAACTGTTTTATAAAAAACTGTTTTATAAAAAACTGTTTTATAAAAAACTGTTTTATAAAAAACTGTTTTATAAAAAACTGTTTTTTAAAAACACAGTTTTTTCAAAACACTGTTTTTTCAAAACACTTCCTTTAAAAACTTCCTTTAAAAAACTGCCTTTATTTAAATCAAAATTTGATCTTCTATTATATTTACACAATTATTTGAAAATGTAAATTAATACTCCTCATTAATCAATTATTTTAGATGAGCAATGAACAATCCACATCCCGTGCTCGCCCGAACTATGCGCCCTTAACCCCAACCGAGCGCAACAATGAAGATTCCGAATGGGTGACACCTCACATGGTTGCTAAGTAAGTAACTATGAATTTTATCTAATTTCAAATCAATAAATAATTTTTTTAATGAGCTTCAAAAAAATATTAATTTTTTGAAGCGATCAAGATGTGCTCAACCAAATCAAAATCATAATTGGTGGACACTTTCTTGGCAACTGGGCGACGTACACGGATGTTGATCCTAAGGTCCGTGAACTTTGGTGGAACTTGTTCAAGGTAAAAAAAATCAATTTTTCTTCATTGATGTAACATAAAATTTGACAAATGATAAGTTAATTTATTTTTTTAATAAAGGCCCGGTTTCGCTGGACTGAAGAACAAGGCCCCGCTATTCTAAGGGTGTACAATGTCAGAGTTTCAAACTGGCTTCGCCCCACTTTTAGGCGTGCCCGAGCCAGTGGGGTAAGGCCTCAATGGTGTTCGGATGAGGTATGGGAAAACCTCGTCCGTCACTGGTCTTCGGATCCGACTTTCTTGGCCAGAAGCGAAGCCGGGAAGAAAAATCGGATGTCCGAGAAGGCAATGACGACACAATGGCACGGAGGCCGCAAACCCCAGAGTAAACATAAAGAAGCTCTTGTAAGTCTTATTCAAATAAACCGACACCATTTTAACCTTTTATTTTTTTAAATTTATTTAAACCTTTTTCTAACCTTGTAGGCGGGGCCTCACAAGAAGAGGGTCCCTATCCTCAGTGTAATCAAACATTGTTGGACGAAGAGCGGTGTTGAGTCGCCAGCCAATCTACCACTCCGCCTTCCTGAAATCGAAGTATGTAACATCAATACTATTATTTAAAAATCAATACTATTATTTCAAATTGAAGTAAATATCATTGAATAATTTTTTTTAAATGTTTGTAGACAAAGTATAACGCAAATGTTGAAAAGAAGCGGGCGGAACTTGGCTTGACTCAAGAAGATGACATCGGTTCTGATGTGGAAGATGATGCCATCCTTGAGGCAACAGGGGTGTACAAGGGCCGGCTTCCATGCCTCGGGGCTGAGGGGCAACGTATTTTGTACGATCGCAGCGGCAGCGGAGCTTCATCATCTTCTCAATCTAGACGAGGAGAGGATCCACGCATTGCCCAATTGCAGCGAGAATTGGAGGAGGAGCAGCGTGCATTTGAACAACAACGAAAGAATGATGAAGAAACGAGGGCCCGGCTGGAAGCGATGGAACGGATCCTTGCTGGATATCAGCCTCCACCTCAACCTCATCCTCAGCCGTACATTATGCACGTTGAGCAGACTCCTCAGGTTCCGCACATGGGTGGTATGGGTTATCACTCTAACTCCGGTTATGGTGCCATGCCTGCAATAGGGTCTACATTTGGATCTCTGTCGCCTGATATGCTCAATCAGTTTCAGTCATCGGGAGGAAGCCACCGAGGAAGTCACCGAGGAAGCCACCGAGGAAGCAACCTAGGAGGCAATCGAGGAGGCAACCGAGGCAGCTGAGGAAGTTCCCGACCCTTGGACCCCGTGGATGCAGAAGAGGATCATCATCGTCATTATGATGATAATGATGATGAATACGATTACGATGATTCTAATTATTATCACAATGGAGTCCGACGTACGGGCATGTAATTACATTATATTGTTTGACATTGTATTGATTTTGTTTTTATAATTCTGTCTGTAATAACATTTTTATTTTTAATAGCGTTTGGAATTTATTTTTATTGCTATTGCTCTAAAATAAAAATAAAATAATTTTTTATTTTTTATAAAAATTGTTTTTTTTAAATCAAAAACATTAGTCACGGACTTAATCCGTGACTACTTTTTAATCCGGAATAAGTTCAATTTTCGTTTTTTAATTTTTTTATATAAAATTGTTTTTTTTATAATCAAAAACATTAGTCACGGACCAGATCCGTGACTAAATTTTATCCGGAATAAATTCAATTTTTTTAGATTTAATATAGTCACGGATACGTCCGTGACTACCACAAAAATAAAAAAAATTAAATTGAAGTTAGTCACGGCTCGTGTCCGTGACTAATTCAAAAAAAATTTAAATTAAAAGTAGTCACGGATATGGTCCGTGACTAACGTGCCGGAGGCTTATTCCGGTCAAGATGTAGTCACGGACGTCGATCCGTGACTAATCCGTGACTACACCTAGTCACGGCCAATGGTCCGTGACTACATTCTAGTCACGCAGAACTAGTCACTGAATTGGTCCGTGACTAAGTCCGTGACTAAAAGTGTTAGTCACGGACTTTTTACACTACGGTCCGTGACTAAGTCCGTGACTACGGGCGAATTTTTTTGTAGTGCCCCCACCTGTTGCGTTTCTCCCATCGGCACCATCGCTCTGCAGATCAAAGCTTCCCATCGGCGAAATCGATCGTAGCTCTCCCAATCGAAGCCGCTGCAGGTTCCTCCAACAATTACAGGCCTCCTCCTCCTCCTCCTCCTCCTCCTCCTCCTCTTCTTCTAATCCTCTTCAAATTTCTGATCCTTTGTTCTCTTCTTCTTTGAATTTTGGATTTCAATTTTGTATACTACCTCCATCCCAAATTGATTTGCAAATTTGACTTTTCTTGGTCAAACAGTTTTGTTTTGTTCACTTAATTAAGATGCCAATTTTTAATTATATTCTGATTTGGAGTTTACAACTTTGAAGAGATTTTGATGTAGTTTATGAATATGTAAATTTTAATTATTAAAAATTGAATTAATTATGTATATGGAGGGTTGACTTTTATTATTGGTTGACCAATAAATGTTGACTTTCCAAAACAAATTGGGACGGAGGGAGTATTAATTTGGATTTTTTTGGATTTGAATTATATTTGTTCAACAAAATGCCACTTTTATAATCTGATAATGTATTGTCAAAATTATTGGTTATTTGAACAACTGTCACGTTTGTGACAGTATATTTATGAGGATGACAATTTGAAAATGTCATATGTCCATAAGAAAATATCATTCTTATGGCATTTTATGGCATTTTTATTACTTATCTGATAATGACGTTACTACTTATCTTGTGATAGTATTTTGATTTATAATCTGAAATAGTAAATGAATTAAGAATAAACAAAAACTGAAAATTGAAGAAAGAAGGATCTGGTAGAAGAAGATGAGAAGACGAGGAGGAAGAAGATCGAAGAAGAAAGAGGAAGAAAGAAGGAGAAGGAAGAAGAAGAGAAAGAGGGAGAAGAGATTACCTGGTGCGCTGGTATGGACCAGATGTATGCGCCGATTCTAGTCTGCCGCTTATGTCCTGAGATCGATAATCATTAAGGGTATTTTTGTCCAATTAGGTAATTTGTAGTCCTAGTTTTACATTTTAAACATAGGGATAAGGCTCAAATTGGACACTATGGTTTCATCAGAATCTCATATTGGACACTAAGGTTTCAAATAGACCAAATTAGACACTATGGTTTCATATATATCTAATATTGGACACTAAAGTTTCATAATTCATAGTTTTTGGACACTCACTTAGATTGGATAAAGATCAAATTGGACACTCACTTATATTGAATTATGAAACTTTAGTGTCCAATATGAGATACATATGAAACCATAGTGTCTAATTTGGTCCATTTGAAACTTAATGTCCAATATGAGATTCTGATGAAACCATAGTGTCTAATTTGAGCCTTATCCCTTTAAACATAGGAGTCCTACTTTTGTATTTATTCCATGTTTTAGTTCTATTAGGAGAATTCTCTCTAGAAAATAAGTAAAAAGAAGTGGTAATATTTGATAATTTAAGTTGTCATCTTCTCTTATGGTTAGAAAAGTCATTAATATTGTGTTTTATGATGAAGAAACCTAATTTTAACTTGTTAAGGCCCGGCCAATGAGCTCTCTATCCGGTAAAACGAAGCCACGCAGATTCCATTACTAATTTAGGAGGCGTTTACTTCGTTGCTAAAGTCAGAGTTAGGTTAGTAAGACAGGTGAAGTAAACACGTACGTTGCTTAAAATGCTGCTTACTAACTGAAAGAGGTGCTTAAAGTGCCGTTTACTAAGAATACCACCACCCCATGTATTAATTAAACGACACTTTAAGCTTTTTCAGTTTCCGAATTTACCCTTACCTTTACCCCTTGCCCTTACCCTATTGCTACCCAACTACCCCGCCCTACCCTACCTTACCCCAACCCACCCTGATCCCCACCCCACCCCTTGACCCGACATACCGAACCCCTCCACCACCTGCCCTACCCACCCCCCTCACCCCTTACCCTACCCATGTACCCCCTACCACCTTCCCCTACCTTGACCCGACCCCCACCCCTACCCTGCCCCTACCCCTTTACCCCATACCCTACCCCCACCCTCACCCTTAACCCGACCACTACCCCCGCCCTACCCTACCTTACCCCGACCCCAACCCCACCCCACCCCTACCCTTGACCCGACCATACCCCCTACCTCGACCCCTCCACTACCTACCCTACCCCACCCCCTCACCCTACCCCTGTACCCCCTACCACCTTCCCCTACCTTGACCCAACCCCGACCCCACCCCTACCCCCGATCCTACCCCTTTACCCCCTACCCCCACCCCCACCCTTGACCCGACCACTACCCCGACCCCACTTTGACCCCCAACCCCCACCCCACCCATGACCCGACCATACCCCTCCCCCACCTTACCCTTACCCCGATCCCTCCACTACTTGCCCTACCCCACCACCCCTTACCCTACCCCTGTACCCCCTACCACCTTCCCCTACCTTGACCCGACTCGACCCCACCCTACCCCCACCCCTACCCACATACCCCACCCCCACCCTCACCCCTTACCGTACCCCTTCCCCTACCTTAACCCGACCCCGACCCCACCCCTACCCCCGCCCCTTTCCTTACCCCGACCCTACCCCTACCTCGACCCACCCCTACCCCACCCCCACCCTTGACCCGATCCTATATATCTATAGGGTTATTTTGGACATTTTAATGTTAAACGGTGTTTTTAATCGTTTGAAGTAAACATGAGCTTACAACACTGCTTATTTTATGCGTCGCTTATTAACGCGAGTCTTAATAAGCCCCGTTTACTAACCCGTGAAGTAAATGTGTCCTTAGTAGTAACGATTTGTTAGGTTTAATTTGTTCCTCTAATTCATAACATCGATCATGTGTAAACATGGACCGTTATTGGACAACAGGGCCGTAGATGAGGCTGTGCAAGCTGGGCTACTGCACAAGGCCTCCAAAAATAGAAGGCCAATTTTTTTTAAAATTTAAATAGTATATGTATATAAAGTAGAGAAATATTCAGGTTCGGAACTCCGGACCAGAACCGCTGTCTGGACGGTGGCGTTTCAGCGTCTTCCCGGTTGACTATTTTGATGAAATTTTTATGACAAGTTTTTCATCAAATCTAGTCTATCCAAGAAGAAATTCAGATAAATATTCAATCTGGAAGATTTTCAAATAATTTTTGGAAGTTAACTGCGTTTTATATGTATATTTCGGCGCAGTTATCTTTCAAAAATCATACGACGGCCTTCCCGATTGAATTTTTAGCTGAACTTTTTTGTGGATAAACTAGACTTGATGAAGAACATGTCATAAACATTTCATCAAAAAAATTCACCGGGAAGGGACCCAAACGCCGCCGTCCGGACGGCGGTTCCGGTCAGGAATTCCTGACCGGAAGAGTACTCTATAAAGTAATTGTTTAAATTATTAATAGAATCCCATTTGCATTTTGAAACACCTTTATACACCGAACGGCCCAACTCCAAATAAAAGCAAACTATACGTCTACACATTAGATCTATGCATTTTATTTAATAAAAGACTCCATTTGTGTAATTCGCACCGGGTCTCGTAATGTGTCAAGCCCTATATATATAATCCCTGAATTTGCAAGTTATTTTTTCTTTAACTCTTTCAACTATAGATTGATAGGAGGCTCGATCAGCTATTAACTTTTGTTGCAGAACAATATAATACGTAGTAAGGTAGTACTACACTACTACGTACGTAGCTTCTTTATCAAATTATGAACTTTAGGAATCTTGGTTTTATATATTCTCAAAATTTAATGGACCAACTCATGGTTGATCGATCTAGATTTAATAGCCTAAGTTCCTTGAAGAAATTAACGTCTAATAAGTGCCTTGCAACATTGACATAATTAATGGTTAAATTTATGACAACCCAGGGCTAAAAAATTACTAAACCTGATTTAATTAATGAATATATACTTCATTTGTTATTTAATAGTTGAAACGTTTTAATAATTAATTTAGTACTTTCTTTGATCATACTCTACTATTACCTGCGTCCAAATTGTTTTGTAAAGTCAGCATTTTTTGGTCAATTAATATTAATGTTAAAGTTAAATCCTTCTTATTGATAATTAATTCAATTTTAATA